TCAGAGCCAGAGCAGGACGCAGCAAAAACAATGACATTTGTCCGAAGCAGGCTGGCACAAACACACATGCACACACCTACACAGATACACACACACTAATGCTATGCTGATGTATTTATGAGTCATAATGGAGACTTTACATTATGACCAGGATTTTCTCGGTGATAAGGGTGAATGTGAGGTTCAGTAACTGCAGTGAGACTAGGAGGAATTCTTTCTTCTTTCCCAGCAGAACAACAAGACAAAGACATCGACGGAGCAAACGTGAAGTGAACAAGCGCAGAGATTTGGGGTCGTCCGACTCTTTGTCTCGTGTACTGATAAGGGTTTGCCCTCGGGGCGCTGCGCGTTAGGCACATTTGACCAACCATCATGAGGAACGTCTGTGGCACTCCTGACCCATTTCATGTGACCTGATTGAGCAGTCGTATCACTTAAACACTCACGTCACCCCAGAGACTCCCAGAAGGCGTCTCCTCCTGATCCCCACCGCTCTTAATTACACACTCAGGGTAGCGGTGCATTCAAATTCACTGTGCCCGGTACTTCCTCTCTCTATATACAGTTTAAAAATGTATTTTTAAAAATGTGTCCAGTTACAATTCCATAATTTAATGTAACATTTCAATTCTTTATATTTTATTTTTACCTTTGATTGTGCGGTAAGTGTTGTAGGATATGTCAGAATCAAAGAGTTGAGGGTTTAAATCTTGTTAATCTTATCTTACAATTATTGAGCTCTGGATCTCACTGGCATCGACTATCGACTATGTGACAAGGTTTAAAAGTTTCTTTCTGGGTCGGAGGTCAAAGTGGTTCATCTATGGGTACTAGTGTAGGCCTGTAAGACAAGGGTCACAGGAAGCAGAGCGAGGCAGGATTTCCCCCTTCCATCACCGGGTTACAATATCTCACCCTGCATGTCGACCTTTTGTTTCCTGCAAATGCAACCCGCCAGCACCTGATCAAAAGTCAAAGTTGAGGTGAATTCTCTGGATTCAGCGGTTCTTATGAGAAAAGGCTTTATTTGGAGTCTGCCCGCTGAGAACAAAGACTGCACTGTGCGTCTGGGAAACTGCACATAAAAGTGTGTGGCTAGGATCAGAGTTACGTGAGAGAAACGAGGAGCGGGAGAAATGACAATATTTTCTGGATGTGCTGTTATATAACAACCTTTAGCATTTTTAACCTTTACAAGTACAAGTACGCCTGAAGAAGAAGTACAGGTGGTTTATTACCTTAGCTTCTAGTGACTACAGTGAAAAGTTAGTGGTGGCAGAATTGAAGATGCTTTGGGTTTTACTGAGAGAGACCAGGATTAACAGGATTAGAGAAAACACATTAGAAGGTCAGTTAAGTTTGAGAAGAACATTTTAGGTGGTTTAGGCAGTGGGAGAGATAGTGGGTTTACATGTCCAAAAACTCTGGAAATAGAACTTCCAGAATGGAGTAAACCCCTAGAGATAGTTCATGGAATTGCAATGGCCATGTAGATGGTTGGTGTAACAGCAGGGAAAGAAAAGGATTAGGATTAGAACGAAGAAATAATCTGATGAGGAAACACCATAAGGAGTTGATTATTGTGCTGTAATAAATCACCAGGGCAGAAGTGCACAACGCCAAGTTAGTGCTTTTGTTCACATCTTTTCAAGTAATTAAGGCCAAGCAAGCAACTGTTTTTTTTCCTGCACTGTATGATATAAAAAACAGCATGGAATAAATGTAATAAATACCGTGATAATTTGAGAATCGGTTCTGGTTCCTTTAATCTTCCAGGTCCTCTGGGACAGATGATACACATGTGTGATGTAACTAAAGTCTTTATATCTGAGGCTTTTCTGGACTCAACGATCCACAACGTTTGTCAAGCTTAGGCAAGACTGGGAGGAACAATTAGCCCTGGACCCTTCAGGGTGGGCATGATGAGTGACCCATGGACACACGGGCATGGAGGCACAACCCAGGGTACTGGGTGCATTTCAGTTGAAAGCACAACTTAATTTGAACATCCACCGAAAAAACTGTTGTCACCCCCAGTGATGCTGTCTGGTGCAAAATCACTTTCACCAACACCTCAAACTGAGGCTTAAGAGACTAAAAAAATCAGAGTAAAAATCATGGGTGGGTAACTGTTTGATCCCACCTACTGTCAATTTTCCATTGTATTATTTAGGTGTCATAAGTAAATATATCTTAACAGCTGAAGTCTCTGATTCCAAAGCACTTAGTTAACTTGGTGGATACGAAAACAGTATGAATTTTTCCAAATCAAATGTGACAGAGCTCTGACCTAGAGGCTCAAATATGCAGTGTGTTGAATATTTTGGTCCAACTTTCTGGACAAGGGTTTTGTAGAAAAGCACCATTAAAACAGCCAACATAAATGTGCTGTAATGTGTTGAACTAAGGTCCCAAAAAAAGAGAGAGTTCAAGACTTTCCTGAGAGGTTTTCTGTAAAAGGCTGAACAGATGTTTACGTTTCCATGTGCTTAGCATTGAAGTGATTAATAGAGTGTGGACAGGAGGTTAAAACAAAACCATACAGACCTCTCAAGTATTTTCTACTCTGCTTCTTGTAGGACAATACAATTGGTATGTAATAATTTACTAAACAGAGCTCCTTTAAATCCAAGGTTGTCCTTTAGCAAAAATTACTGGGGGTTCAATTCCAGGTAGATGCTGCTGTGTCCCCAGGTGAGACACCCAAGCAGCGGTGTCTTATCGGTCTGCCAGAGGGGCAGTCCCACAGTAATCCCATATAAATGAGAGAGACAGGAGGTAGGTGTCAGGAAGAGCATCCGCTGTTTAAAAACAGAAAAAAGTCACGTCTGTGGATCATTAGCTGTGGCATCGTCTGTAAAAGGAAGCAGCTGAATTTTTTTTTTTAAATGTATTGCCCAAAACAAATATTTCATGTTAGTAATTTTATGCCGTTATATATCTGAATTTTTCCTGAAACAGACTAGGGGTAGGTTAGCGTTAGCTCAGGTACAGGGACAGTCAAAGCCAGGGTTAAGGGGGAGCTTTAAATTAGGGTTAGGTTTAGCGCTAGTTGACGTTAGTGTTGGTTTCTGGCTAGGATTACACAATTGTTAGTTTTATGGTCAGTGTAAGGTTAAATTTAGGTGGATTGATTTTTAATCCAAATACCGGTAGCCTAAAGTCTCAGTTTTCACTGAATGAAATCATACGATTCTTTGTTTACTGACATACATTAATAATTTGGATTTCTTTTTAAACTATGGCAGGGTCCACGACAAAAAAGAAGAGTGAATCCATTGTTCACTGTTTCTGGTACTGCAGCTGCAGTAACTTTTTCTCATAGACACATAGATACTTCACTTGCGCTAAAATCCACATACTGGAATATATTACTATAGAATACTGCACTGCAGCTATTATTGAATAGTAGTTATTTTCCATTGCCAGTGTTATCAGTCTGTCACACTCTGTCAAATGAAGCACATGTGAGCTGCTGCAGATGCCGAAGGCTAAAACTGTATAATCTTCCCAGCACAGCCCCCTATTCTTCTGAGGGTGGTTGGTTAAAACAGGGGGGAAGCTAACCCAGCTAATCTTTCATCTAAAGATCTTTCTTTTTCTCACGGATGCCCTCAGCAATTCATGATAACCTTATTAAACAGTTTCCTCTGACAAATCCTTAAGAAATAAATCCTCTTTTATATGTTTTTTTTTTTTTTTTTTTTTTTTGCAGAAAGAGGGTTGATCAAGACGGTTGTGCCCATCACATGGAAAAACCTCAGTTTCCTTGGCAACCCATGATGGTTTTGCACTGCATCGACTGGTTAGGAGAGAAGTTTGCAGGGACATTTTTGTATTGAGTGAAAGAGTCAGCAGTTTGGGAATTTACTTAAAGGAAGTGCAGATTCAAGGGAAGTGCCAAAAGATTTTGCTGGCTGCGTGGAGCTCATTTATAACCGGCACCGAGTCTAAACACGAAAAGAAATGGATAGTAGAGTAGAGTAGTGGTGTATGTAGCGAAGGATTTTACCAGTGAAAGTTATAGTTATGTTTCATTAATATTAACTTTTGTTATGAATAAACCAAAAAATGTTGTACAGATTTAGCTTGTAACAGTTAACAGCCGTCATTTCTGTTCAAGTGTATCATTTAAAACCTTCCCATTTGTCGTTTACCTCTTCAAAGTGACGTAGCAAACGCGTCAACGTAGGCGATATGCAAACTGATGGTTTGCTTCTCCCACGTGGCCACGGGTGGTACTGCATTAAAGTAAGGCATGGTCAGGAAAAATACATTAGTCTAAACATGTTAAGAAAAATATTTTAAGACCGCCGGCACTGGTGTCACTGGTGCATTTATTCCTCTCCTCTTCTTTTGTTCCTCCTTGGGTTTTCACATTTCTCTACTATATCTACTGTAGCTGCGCTACCAGATTTTTACATTTCACTGCATCTTCTATCTGTCATTGTTTATCATCTTATGTGGACTCTTTTTCTGACGTTGAGACTTCCAGTTCAAACTCAATACACAGTTCCTAATTCACCTTTCTAGTCACCTTGTTATGATGCTCTCAGTATGCTGTCTTGCCAAATACTAGTTTGTGCTACTTTCCTGTCTTGCAGTTCAATCTTTTCCTAAACTGAACTGGCTGCACTGTATTTTAAGCCGATCTAATTAAGTTTGAACCAAACCAATTAGAAGAGTTGTTCCAGTTCCACGTTACCTGGGTGGGTGAGGTTGGGTTGAGACAGCTAATAAGACGACAATAGGGTAAAACTGCAATTAGCTTCAATGATCCTCACCTGTGGAACAAACTCCCTGAAAACCTGCAGTAAAGTTAAACAATCAGCTTATTTAAAGCAGGGCTGAAAATGCAATACTTTTCTGCAGCGTTCCGGTAGTGCTCATTTCATTCACTTAATCTTAGTTGATTGACATTAAATTGTAATTACATTATTTAAATGTTTTTCACCCTTTCTTATTTTTAGTGTATCTATCCATATTGAATCCAGTCCCAGTAGAGGTTTCACTAATTTATTACATTTCCATTTCAATTCTCTCAAACCTCAGTTTTATCACTTCCCAGACCAATGTACACATTTGTCACAGAAATACATGAGTGACAAATGCTGCTACAAAAATAGTAAAAGATGGTAACATTTTATCCCCACTCACAGTGATTCACAAAAACACAACAGGGATTAGCTGTGTGTACAAGTACAACAAGGACATGCAGTGAGTTCCTTTAAGACTGCACTAATTGTCAGTCTATAATTTCCCAGTGCAACACCTGTGATGTTGGTAATGAGTTATGAAGACAACACATCTGGATAATCCTGTACTGTTTATGCAGCAAATATTGTTTTAAGATACAAAATGTCTACAACAAAACCATTCCCCTTTGTGCCATGTTGTGTTAATGTTTACATAATAAATAAAAGAATATTTTTTTCCAGTTTGGTTCCTGGAGGATCTTCAGACTGGTCTTCTTCCAAACACATTACCACTGAGATGTCACACAGTTTTACTGCAAAAAACTTTTCAATATACTGCATCAAAAGGCAGCATCAACATCTGCTCTTCATCAGGATGGTCTTCACAGACAGGAGGGCTCCTCCATTCTTAGGTGCAGGGTCAGACGATCCTGTCGGTGTGAACACACGACGGCCGACTGACTGGAGAGCTGACTGTTGTCCTTCTCCGTGCGCTGCGAAGGCACTCGACTTATGTGATGACGATTGACCATAACAGTGAGCTGTCAGTTTTGTGCTGCCACAGCAGTTTGCATAATTCAGTTTCCTGGGCAGCATCAGCCACTTCTTATTAGGCAGCTAGAACATGCAGTGCAAACAGTGGGTCTCATGTCCAAACATGGACATGTGGTCAGTGGATTTCAATGTGCACCTGTGAAGAGATTGGGCAACTGGTTAATAAAAAGCACAGTTATCAGTTGATACTTGATTAATCATAACTTTATGGTTTTTTTTTTTTTACTGTAATCTCATTTAGCAGTAAATACAATTAGTGCAAATATTGGCCCCAGAGCCAGATTTTGTACAGCAATTGAAAATGGGTAAATAGTAGTAGCTAAGGATAGCTTTACCTGTGATTTTTTCCTTTACCTAGACATTTAAATAAATTTCTCACTACATGACATGCCATCAATTATCCTGGATGTGGACCACATTCTGCTAGCTCTGTTTTAAATCGACAGCTCTATGATCCTATGGTCCTACGATCATCCAGAATGTCCGCTATATTTTTCAGCTTCCAGACGATGTGTAATAATGTTCTGAAATCAAGAATACGGGTCATATTTGTGGTCGGAGAAATTGTTTAATTCAGTGTAAGACCAGAAAGAAATGTCAGTTAGGTTTTAGCTGTGACGAGGCAATACGCTCAGCAAGCTTCACGAGTTTAATAGTGATTACAAAAGAATGGTTTAAAGGTTAATAATTATTTTGTTTATCTGTATTATTTATGTCTCCCCCTGATATTCTGCCAGAGACAGACTATTTTAACTTAGATCTAATTTTAACTCACACCAAGTATTGCATATCCTGGGTTAATCAAACTTGTCTACAGCTTGGGCTCAAATACAACAAAGCGTTGATATTTACCTGTAGTCTGACGTTAAACATCATCGAGGCGACGAGGTAGATGTAGGGGAATCTGATTCGTAGTCGCCATGCCAGATTAAAAAATATCATCAAAGTCCTGGTCAAGCCTTTTGAAAACACTGCATAGGAGTGACCGGCGGAGCCCGAAAACCGGAGCACCAGATGAGTCAGCCCCGCCATAAAGGCGTAGACTGGCCCGGTGTGCTGTACGGTGAAGTGTCAGGCAGTGAGGTGAAGGGCAGACCGAAGTAGGGGTGGTTGACATCTCATCTTTCTATCTGTGTCTACCCCTGGGCTCCATTCTTTTCTGCAATGTCTATTTGAAGAGCAGCTCCACCCCAACAGCTCCTTTGTACATTCTCACCCGGATGAATGACGGTGTAACACACGGAAGTAAAAGGTCTAAACATACAAATGTTCTGCCCGGTATTTCGACTTTTAGGCATTTTGGCACGAAAGACAAAAACAGCTTTTCTGGGTTTGTAGATTCGATACAAACTTTTATTTTATATATATATTGAATATATAATTTTGATTTAATTTATAACTATATGATGAAAAGATTATATGAATAATCTTGATTTGATTTTTTTAAATAAAAAAGTAACTTAAGTCTAATATGTATTACATATTTTGGAGGACATTGATTAAAACAAAAAACATTTCCCTTGTGCTCTACTGATCCCCAGTCTCCTACCCATATCAATAAAATTAATTATCTTTTATTTGGTAGATAATCAGAAACAAGATTGGCTACAATTAATTTAGATACTACAGTTGTAGTATTCTGTATTTTGTGTTTTACCAACCAATAATTAGATTTACCTGTACTCTATAAAAAGGTAAAAATTTACCTAAGCATACTCAGATTTATGTCCAGTGCTGGGCTACAGTAAATTCATTATACGGCTTGTTTGTTTTCTAGCTTATGCACAGCAATGAGGAACCTAAGTAGCCTCCACAGAGTAATAAATCCAAATAAAAATAACAACAGCAACGATTTAGATATTTACCGAGGGGACTCTCAAATCAGGAGTAAATGGATTTTATATTTTATCTCTGTTAATCTATAGTAGTAGTAGAAGTAGTATTAATAAAGTATAAAAACAACGTTAGTGTTTTCGTTGTCCTCTCTGTTGTTGGTTTAGTGGTGTTTCTATAATAAATCTAAGTAATGTAGGGATGTTGACTTAGGTGACGTCGATCCTAATTTCTTTGCCACACTCAAACTTGTCCTTCTTGTTTTAATAGTCCATAACCATTGGACTAGCTGTAATTATATTTTAATGTCATCATAATCCTGGGAACAGGTGATTTCCAACTGTTCTTTTCAAAGTATGACACAGTGGGAATGTCACCCGGAAGTAAGTCCTAGTTGTGGCGGTGTCTGCCTTCATTTTTTCCTCAGGGGTGGTGGCCGCTGTTTTTGCTACAACAGCTTCCAGATCAGTAGAGTCAAAGCATGGGAATGTCGGGAGGGGCTTTCTTACTTAACTCAAGCTAAAGTCTAATACAAGTTACTGTAAGTTTGTCTCACGGACCCTGAATCCCTGCTGTCCGCTCAAAGACTGTTTTCAGAGAAGTTTTTGGAACGTTTCACCAGATAACGATCCCGGACAAAGGAAACCAGAGCTAACGTCAGCTACCTGGGGTAACTCAGCATTCCATTTGCTGCGGCGCAATGCAGGCCATAAAGTGTGTCGTTGTAGGTGACGGGTAAGTGAACTGTCATTAACGCTTACTGTTAGTTGCATTCTTCTTTAAACTTTACTGTCATTCGTGTGACCTGGGCATTCACTGTCATGAGTAAAGATACAAAAATATTTAAAAAAGAAAAAGTTTGCAGCAGATCTTTCACATTGCCTGTTTGTTATGCTACCTCATAAAGGTGCTGTGACATTACGGTTGCATTACACATTAGCATTAGGGAGATCGGTGGATATCAAACTAATGTAACCCAGTTAAACTGTTTTTCTCTAAACGTGGGTGACTCACACACCTCTGGGCTCCTCTTCCAATCCCCTAAGCTGGAGTTAAAATGTGTCAGTAGTTAGTCACTCGTTGAATAATATGTAGGGCATTGATATTTTTTTCTTCAAATTTTATATTAACATGTGAGCGATAATCAAAAAATATCAACTCGAATAAAACAGTTCAAAACGTGTGTGTTTTTTTTCTACAAACATTCTCCAACAGGTGTCCCAACATTAGGGTGGCTCAAAGTGACTTAAATAATGGCCAACAGTGTGATTTAAAACTGTGGTTCTCAGCCTTTCTGAATCACAATCAACCAAACTGTTAAATTAAGTTCCTCTCCACCATATTTGGTCAGACGTTTTTTCACCATTTTAAAAATTGTATTTATTTATTTATATTTATTATTATGTATATATATATATATATATATATATATACAAGTATATATATATATAACTTTTTTTACTTGTGAATAATTGTTAGCTTTGAGTATACATGGGTTACTTGAAATGGTGAAATAGTTAGGTCTTGCTCTGGTGACCTGTGTATAGATTACAAAAAATTGAATCCAGAAGGTTAGGAAGCACTGTCATTCTGAGGGAAAACATTAGGTTCAACCTATTTTTCCATTTTGTGTCTTTTTGTCCAGAGCTGTGGGTAAGACTTGCCTGCTCATCAGCTATACCACCAATGCCTTCCCTGGAGAGTACATCCCCACAGTGTAAGTACATGATAATGCAGCCCAATATAAATTGTTCATTTATTGATGATAGACTTAAGTTCAATCAGAACTCTCTATGAGTTCTCTCCACTATTACTTCTGTTGAGACAATTAGGGAATTTTAGAAACATTCTTGTTCTGCGGGATATTTCCTTTTCTGCAGAACAGGTTCCCATCCACACAGTTGTCTGCAGCAGAGATTTAGGCAGTGGATGGTATCACAAAGTTAAATAAAAACCAGAACGTTATTTTAACTCAGACCAGCCAGGACACTGGAGATCTGTATCTGTCCAATAAGTCTACAGTGCCTGACTCAGCAGGTAGTCACCAAACAGCATTTCAGGTTTAGCATAGGAACTGGGGGGTTACAAACACCCTGCATATCCATGAAAACGTGTTTTTACTGTTATTTACAGCTCCTCATATCACTCCTCCTCTTAGGTTTGACAATTACTCTGCCAATGTTATGGTTGACGGAAAACCGGTGAACTTGGGCCTTTGGGATACAGCAGGACAGGAAGATTATGACCGTCTGCGCCCACTTTCCTACCCTCAGACGGTACAATAGCAGTTTGGCAACACAGTATTGTGTTTTACTGATTATGCTTCTTACTCATGCATCGATTGCTCCAAAGTGAATTTTATTTATACCTGTATTCCACTTGTGAAGTTTGCAGAACAAACCTAAAAATAAGGTTTTATTCTACTTACTCCCAACAGGAAGAAATGATCACAGCCTCCATAATATTTTTGTTTGTTTTATTTTTTAGGATGTATTTATCATCTGCTTTTCACTGGTGAGCCCCGCCTCGTTTGAAAACGTCCGCGCAAAGGTGAGTTGATAAATATCTGTCTGGGATCCAGTCAGCGTTGTAAAATCATCCACATTGAGTCAAGAATTGAAAAGGTTTGGTTTCAGCTGTGTTTGTGCAGATGTTGGGACCCAGTAGTCATGTCTCTTCAACTGGCTTAGCAGGAAACAGCAGCAGATGTTAATGTTAACTACAAGCAAATGCACTGTTATGGGCTGCAAATAAGAAACTTATTTTCTCTGGTTACATAAAAAAGAAACAAGAATGCTTTTTTCTATTAACATTCATTAGCAGGTCTTTGGCTAATTTGCTCAATTATTGTAATCACAAGCTGCTATTATATCTACTTGGGACCTGGTCCATAGACACATTGTCATGTTGACAGAGGCCAAGCTCCAGCCCCTCATCTTTAAGTTGGAAGTTGACCGTTGCCACCCACTGATTCACAGCCAGCCTTTTAATTTACTGAAACAATCCTTTATGCTTTTGAGATTGTCAGGAATCTACAACAGTCAAATGTCCAACTTTTAATTGATGTGATCTTGGTGCAGTGGTACTCGGAGGTGAGACACCATTGTCCCAATACTCCCATCATCTTGGTGGGCACCAAACTGGATCTAAGAGATGACAAGGACACCATAGAAAAGCTGAGGGAGAAGAAACTCAGTCCAATCACCTATCCTCAAGGACTGGCAATGGCCAAGGAAATTGGTAACAGCCATTTTGATTTGATCATTCACCCTGAGCTTTTATGATGACATCATCCTGCTAAACTCTCTGTCGTTCCACCAGGTTCAGTCAAGTATCAGGAGTGCTCAGCCTTGACTCAGCGTGGCCTTAAAACTGTGTTTGATGAGGCTATACGTGCCGTCCTCTGTCCTTCATCTGTGATGAAGAAGAAGAAAAACTGCTCTCTTCTCTAGGACTCACAGGAGGCTCTACACTATCCACTCAAACAAAAATGTACTTCAGTTTGTTTTCTCCTATATGTGTATCTGCAACACTTACACCAACACACTACTCTTGGAGTATTTATCGTGGTATCAGATTCAGGGTTGAATTATTTCAGTTCATGTTGTACTGTACAGAAAAACAGTCATGAAGTTTTTTAAAGGCCTTTTTAGATGTATAAGGTGTTATATAGGTAAAAATGAACAATGGAATGTCTTTCTGTTTGTTGCTTCCACTGGTTGTCGATCTTCTTTTTTGTTTACAGTCTCTGGTTGGTTGCCTTTGTGGCAAAAGAAACATAGCCAAAATACATCTCGATCACTTTCTGTACTTAAGCCAAAACAAAATTAAACCGTGCTGTTGGGTCTTAAACCTCTAGAAAACAGTACTGACTTGCAGCTGTTTGCTTAGCTTGCAAAATATATGATATTCCACTGCAGGGGCATCCACTGTTCACGAGGATGTTAAAGCCTGGGTCATGCTTTCTGCATTGGGATTTTCGGGGTACCTCAGTCTGGTCAGTAGAAAGCTGTACTTTCCAAGATGTTTGCCAAAGAGAACCCTATCAAAACTGATGATGCCAACCAAAATATGGCAAATGGAGAGGGAAAAAAGTACCTGTCTGCTGTTTTAACTCAGGAAAAAAACAAGCATGAGAAGGTCTAGGCTTCTGCCGCTTAGAGGTCAAAGTGTCAGTAGAGGAAAAATACAGCAGCAGTGAAACCTTAAGAACTGTCATTCAGTCTTGCCGTTTACCTCATAAAATGCTCAAAACGGCATTACAAGTGCAGTGCAACATGTACCACATCCTTACAGGACACCTATGTGTGCAGCTAGGGTGTGCCTTATACAAAAGCTTTACTGCAAGTGTATGGTGGCTGAGAACTCGTGTAGAGAGCATTGACCCAGGCCCAGCATGATAAATCTGTGAAGCTCTTGTGCCTTGAAAGACTGCACGTGTAGCATTTACACTCCAGTTCCTAGCACATGGTCCATGTTAATTCATTCTAATGAAATACTTACACAAGAGACCCACTAAAACAGAATTGTGCAAAGATCTGCTGATAATAACACCCCATTTCATCTCTTAAATATTAAATCTAATTCAGTATTTTATCTCTTTGGACCTGTTGTACATGATGTATTTTTTTTTTTTTTTGCCTTTATATGTAATACTTTCCCTTGGAAATATCTGGTGGTGGGGTACAGGAGCAACTTTAATGCTCTCAGGGCATTTATCAGAAACCTTTTGCAGCATAATTGTTTTTTTTTTAAACCAGTATCACCTCAGGCTGAGCGATAATATCTGTGTCATAACAGTAAGATATCTACTGTTGGCTCTGGTGTCCTGTACTGTGTAGCCATTGTTATCATTGTGATGTACAATTTTCTATCTTTTTTTCCCACAGAGATAACACTGTTCCTGCTGTATTGTCCAATTAACACTATGACTATCCTTTTTAATTACCTCTAAAGTTAACACTACCTTTCTCTCCCTTATTTGCTTTTGGTTATTAATGTTAATCACATGTGCAACATATACTGATAACAAAGATTATAAATGCTACAGTTATATTATGACAATGTATCTGAACTACTCAAGACAATGTATCTGAACTACTCAAGTAGGTGTTAAGTACATGTTGCTTCGTGATGTCTTCTGACATGAAGCTCTGCTTTATTTCAAGCCAATGTTGTGAGATTCTTTGGTTTCATGGATGAAAGACATCTTAACTTTTTGAAAAATCCAATAAATTCCAGGGAAAAACAAACTTTCTGGTCGTTTAACTTTGTTGGCACTGCAAGACGTAATGTCCTTTTTCATAGGTATACACACACACACACGGTTTGCCACAGCCACACTTGTGGGACTGTGTAGCGCCATCTCTTTCTTACATGTGGTTCCATGATGTCACAAAAACCCAGTTGAAACACAGCATTTAATGACAGGCACATATTTATAAATAACATTTCATGGAAAAAATATTTGTTGTAAGTCAAGCTGTGTCAACAAGTTGACTGACAATACATAAACCTATAAGGTTTTTATACACATAATTTGGCAAACAAAATATAAAGGTCTTTTTTAACATTAAATTCATTTCAGTCTTTATCCAAACATTTCTTCAGCCATATTGATCTTCTAAAACCCAGTGTCTTTAGTTCATCACAAACTGACCGTTGAAATCTGTCCCACCTCAACTGTTTCTCATCTCAGTTTCTCAGGAGTCGACAAATCTCAACAATGTTCCTGAAGTTGTTGATATGCTTTAGAGAAAAACAAAGATAGTGATTCAATTAAAATTTTAAATATTTGATTTGTAACACTGAGGTTTCTTTTTGAAGGTCCCAGTAAATCTAAGGTAATAACAGAAGACTGCTGAACTACTATCAGAGAGCAGCTGAACAAACAACCTGTTCTTTTGATACAAGGACTAACTGCGGACACAAAATTATTATTAAAAAAATGTACCTTTTCACCAAATCTGCACCCACAATGTCATGAATATGATATTTCATGTGAAATTTGACTTGTGACGTCGTCCTTCGTCCTTCCAGCTCGGCTTGCAGGACCTCGCCGTATTTGGACTTTTTCACCATGCCGAGCACAGCTTTACGACCTAAAAAAGAAAAGCAGAAGGGTGTTTAAAAACAAGCCATTAGGAAGGAATTGTCAAATTATTGTTGTTGCAGTGATATGAATACATGAAAACATTACTGACATTACCTGATGCTCACCTTGTATGAAATATTTGGTGAATTTGCCAGAGTTAGGAATGGACAGCCACCAGCTGCCTGCATCCCTCACAGTCAGGACCCCTGACTTTACCAGCTGCCTGGGAGGTCAAGGAGTAGGACATGTGCTCAGGAATATTAAAGCCCTTTTAATCCTGATAACAGCATTTACCTTTCCAGTTCATAATAATTAAATAAACACTTATTTATCTTTAGCAAGTGCAAAGGCGTTGATATGTTAACACTTTTTAAACATAATTGACTGATTGAAAATTTAACCCAGACACAATGGTTGCCATTTAAAAGGTTGGTGTTTAAGATTTTGTAGTTAATATACCTAGTTATATGTAGAAATTAGAGAATAGTACACAAGGGATTATACTTACGTTATCTCTGAGTCTGTGAAGAGGAACTCTCTGAGCATTTTGTCTTTACTGAAGCTAAGATCAATACAGGAAGATGTCAGCAACTTCTCCAGAAATTTTTCGACTGTCGCCCGAGTCACTTTGCCCTCTTCTCCTGCCAGCACTTTGGCCTTGTAGTCGGAAGCAAAAGTCAGCCCAAAGGCTTCTGTATCAAACCCGAGCTGGAACATCAACAGCTCTGCTTTTTCTCGCAGTTTGTTCTGTGTAACACAGCAGTGTTAATGGCACTAATGTGCCTTTTTTCTGCACTGATAGGCAAGGTGACTCAAGGACCTACTCACCACCTCCTTGTCGACTAGTGTCTTATCGTTGTGTAAACTGTAGAGTTGATGCTTAAGTACAATTTTTGGCAAGGCATCATTGAAAATCTTCCTGGGAAACAGTGTCATGATGTACTCCAGTGTGGATTTGATATCAGTTGGTTCTTTCAAACAAATAGATAGAACGGAATAAATACATTTATTATAGATTATTATTACAAAATTATTTTAAATTCGTTCATTAAACGAGGTAAATAATCTCCGTTCCGCTTACCATCTCTAACCCTGGCGGTTCCAAACTTCTCTGAGCCAATTCTTCTTTTCTTCACTTTGAATGTGTCTGAAATCAGCCCCCGTTTTCTGTTCATATCTGGAGGATGACATGGTGGCGACAACATCAACCGAATAATCAATCATATGCTCCCTAAATATACATTGATAGACATTTTAACTTATATAATTAACATAACGTTATTGTTTGTTTACAGGAGCAACGTCTGTTTACAATTCCTTAGTAAAACACCAGCATCAAAATTGTTTAAAGAGTTAAACTCTGAAATTTAAAAGTTTTGACAAACAAGCTGTAAAATTCTGGTTATCTAAGCTAGCACAGCTAAAGGCTAACAAAAACAATCAATATGTTTTAGTGAGCACAAACACAGAGGCACAATGATTACAATTCTTACTTGGTGTCCAATGGAGTCGATTTTATGGGATTTAATTCATAATTTTACCCTCGTTCATCAACAAACGACGAACAATAGTGTTTCCTCTACTGGTTTAAATCGAACTGAGTCAGACAACTCAGCTGTTTTCCGTGTCACACTGGTTACCGTTGACTCCATCTAGCGGTGTGGGGGAGGTGGTGCGACTATAAATACATTTCCAGTCTGGTGTTAGCATAGTTAGCTTCCTGACGAAGGCGAAACTGTAGTTGTTTTTATAACACATTTATGATCGACATCTATCATAAACAGACATTTTCTTCGCGTCATACCAGTACTATGATCACCTATCGTTTTATCTATTTCTGATCATGTTACAGTGTAACTGTAGCTGCTTCTAGCTGCAACTGCTGTTTTTGCTGACAACGGTAGGAACTCGTTTATTTCATTTTAACACAAATTCTAGTTATGACTTGATAAGATATAACTTATTTCAATTTTAACCGCAATAAATGCATATTTGTATCATTTTACAAACAATAACAACCCCCCTATTTTGCTGAAAGAACATTGATTTTATAGCATTATTAGTATAAACATTTTTAAATATATTTTATTGGTTTAAGGAAAAATAAATAATCCCACAATGTGTCAGTGTTTTGTTTTGTTTTTTTGCCCAATGTAAATTTCCTATTAGGTCATAATGGACCACCATCAATCCCATAATCCCAGTTCCAGCAATCACCAGCACCAGTCAGCACACAAGAGAGAAAGAAATGACAACTGGAGAAGTTCTTCTGTGAAGAAACTCTCAAAACCAAACCACTACCAGAATCCATCAGAATCTGCTGCTAGACAAATTCCTGTGACATCTCATACTTTGAGTACCAGACGGGAACATTTTGAAAAAGACTTTCCCTTGTACAAACAGCCTGTTGAAATTGGATGCTTTTCCCTGGACTCTGAGCGGAGATTCTACAATGACAACAGACAGATGAGGTACTATGTGGAACCTGACAGAAATCCAAACTTTGACCTGCGGGATGGATACAGAGACCGCTACAGAAAGAGAGACGATGGTGTGAAAGAGAAGCTGGATCACATGCTGCACTGGATTTTAGCCAATAGATTGAAGCTTCAGCCAAGTGCGCCCTCAACACGGTACTTGATTCACATACAGTGAATTTATTTCTTCCTGTTTTTTATCATCTAGTTTTTGAATCTAGCAACTGTTAATGTCATCCATCTTTGTGCCTGTTGAACTGTTTTCATCGACCTCTGTACGTTGTAGTCTTTTACACGCTGACTTTGTCACATGGCGAGGTCACCTGACAAAACTGCTGACCACTCCCTATGAGACACGAGAAGGTTGGCTGCTGGCCGTCACCAGGTTCAGAGGCACCTTTTACATCAGTGAGGTGGAAACAGAAGCTGCTCGCAGAGAACAGGAAAACCGCACTGAGAGGCACGAGGAGATGATGTACTGGGGCTACAAGTTTGAACAGTACACCTGCACAGGTAATCCCACAGTGAAATTATGCTTTTTTAATACTGGATATTTCATGATCCCTGTAGGTGTTATCCACTACTGCAGCATCTATCACATTTTCTAATCCGAGGAGAAACTTTAGGTTACGTCTCCTGCCCAGCGACTCATCAACATGTAAACTATTGGAGCAAACTCCAGATGTTCTGGTTAATAATTTGGCAGGTGCTGTAAAACGTTTTACTGACAAGAAATAAGAAAAGTGAAATAAGTTGAATTCTCACCTTTATCGCCCCCTGTAGATGACACCCACAGTCTACCTGACCCCAGTGGAGTGGTCAACACCAACGAGGCCTTCTGCACAGTGGTGCAGACTCGATTGGCAGACCACAAACTGCTGTTTTCTGGTGAGGTGGACTGTCGAGATAAAGATCCTGACGCTCCACCTCCACCCAGCTGCTATGTGGAGCTGAAGACCTCTGCTGAGATCTGCACGCCCAAACAGCGCAGCAACTTCCACAGGTGACTGACGGCACAGTAACATATCCCATCATTCCATTTGAAGTCATGTAGAGAGAGTTTTGTATGTTTATGTTTGGGATTTGTCTTATCTTTAGGTTCAAACTGCTGAAGTGGTGGGCACAGAGCTTTCTTCCCGGGGTCCCACGGGTGGTGGCAGGATTTCGGGATGAGGAAGGTGTTGTCGTTTCTGTGGAGACTTTCCACGTGTCAAAGATCTCCTCTCTCATCAGGGTGTGGTACATTTCTGTGAAATTATTTTCATCCTACCTGTGTCACAGAAACAAGTATGTTTGCTCTAATCTAGGGTGTGATTGCACAGTTGTAGTCCTGGGCTTTTGTCATTAAAGATAATGTTGCTGTACTCGCAAGAATTGAACAAAGGCACTCTCCAACAGCTCTGATTCTCTTTTTTAGTTTTCACAGCCATCAGCTCCCACCTAGTGGACGAGTATTTAATTGCTGTGCCTGTCACACATTGACAATCAAAGAAACAATATTTGCAAAATATATAAATAATATCTTTAGACCAAATAAGTGAAATAGGGTTATTTTCCGTGGCACACCTAATACTCACGCACAGCACACTAGTGTGCCATGGCACAGTGGTTGGGAATCACTGTTTTACATTAGAAACGACTGAAAACCACACAGCAACATGCAATATTTGCAGAGGGGAAATTCAGAGAGGTGTAACCGTCTCTTCATACAATACCACTGACCAAATTAAACATAAAAAGCACCCCAACAAAGAAGCACTATATATGACAAAGGATGACGCTGGTGTCATTCTTTATTTGACATTGTTGTATGTCATTTTAAAATCTGTCCTTGGTCGACAGAATGAACACAACTGCTGGAAGCCGACTGTCTGCATGAACTTTTGCTGCGACTTTCTGACGTTTGTGAAACACGTGGCTGTTGAAGACGATCCTGAGTGAGTGACGAAAACTCATTTTTGTGAATCATTTGGGTTTTTTGTCTTTTATTACTCTTTAACATGTCACTGTGCTCCCCTGCAGTGTGGTGTATCTGTTCTCCTGGGATCCTCGCAGAGATGTGACCTACTCCATTCACAGAAACTCCCACTATTCATTCCTTCGTCACTGGTACATCAAGGAGATGACCAGTGAGGGAGACCCGGACCACCACTGATCGATGAAATCCCTGCTGCTCTGACGTAATATTTCCTGCATTAGAGAATTTCTTATCAACATTTTAGCATTTGGTTACACTGATGAAATATTTGAAAAACAACTCCATGCATAGGACGAGTAGTTTCATAAGCTTTTATATTTTCAGGTTATTAATATTTACTATCACTTATTAAACTCACAAACAGTCATAAGTTGGTTTTAAACTATATTACAACACTTCTTTAAAAACTTCAAGCAAGTTAACTAAATGCAGCATCAGTGTCCTGAAAACTGTAGAACTCTATGGAAAAGTTTGTATTTTTTAAATAAATGTTTCTTTTCTTGGTATTTAAACATCATTTCCTGTCTATTTCCAACCACCCATTTTCAAATATAGCCCTGGTCTCAGAAATCTTACACCAACAGTTTTTTTTAAATATTATATAAAACATACTTTCATAAGCTGGTCCCACTCATCCCCTTCCTTTTTTACAGCTGCACATCTGTGCCTTTGAGACTCATTACTGCCATCTACCTGGTCTGGTCTTTGCTTTACAAAAACATCTGAACCCTCTGCAAAGAGAGGGAAAATACAGACAGATTTTAATAAATTACTGTTTATTTCTGGGCTTCCTTTTCTAATTTTTTATCTTTTCAAACACTTTCAGTAAAACACAGCAACTGTCAATCAATCACACTCAATGTACTGAGTACATTGACAAGTCCAGACTGCCCTTAGTACAAACACCTGGTTAAACAATGGAGAAAAACAGTTTACACAGACCCCGACAAACACTACAACATAACAGAATCAACAGTCAATGGGGAATGCAATGCATCATGGTCCGTGTAGGTCATCAACAGTCTTCATGTCAGTTGTTCAGTTCAACTGTTTTAATTCCATTAAAAGGCACATACTGCATAGGCGGAATGTCCAGGAAATTTAAGTAGGACAGCTAATGTTTTGAATTAGCTTCCCAAAACTTGGCTTTTTTTAACTTGTGACATTTTGAAAAAGTTTGACATTTTGGGGGAAAATGCATCACAGCTCACTCGAAGCTATGTGTACAACCCAGGCTCAGGGTGTCTATATGCCAATGAGTCTCTGGACATAACACGTGCCAGCGTTGTGTTCATGGGAATGAAAGAAGTACTGTGAATACAAAAACTATACAATTGTTAGAGTGTACTGCTGAGTGGAATGTAGTACAGTAGGATGTGGCTATAAAAGGGTTAAAAAACTGCCTTCGAGGGTTTAGGTTCCACATTTTTGTTTTATCATAAATGCTATCGTGCTAAGCAGGTGAGCGGCTACTGGAACAAACAGTATGTGAAAGAAGAGGTCCTTGTTTTGCAGGCTATAGCAGCAACTGAATCTCCAGAAAATGAGGTATCTGCTTGTTTGGAAACTATTCTCTATGAATACGACTTCACTCGATTCAACTTGACTGGCCTTGACAAGGCACTGGCTCTAATGCATTACTTCCAGAGGTATTTCATTAAGACAACTGTGCAATAGACTGCGTTAAAACAACATACTGACCCTCTGATACAAATTACAGATTTACTATTTACTAGTATTAAAGCATTTTCACAATAAAAGTATATATGTGGTGAAATAAGTCTTTTAAGTGACTTTTCCCTAAATGTCAAACTTTTTTTCTTTACACAAACTTGCCAACTTTATTTTACAGGCCAGTGTGGGAATCCTCGGTGTCAAAAGGCATCTGTGTGCTACATCTGCTGCGTCGGCATATCCTACTTATGAACACGTGTTAACAGTGCATTTTAGTAAAGCAGGGGTGTCGCGGCTACTTCAGCTTCTTATTCAAACCCATGACTTTAAACGTGGCTGACGTAATCTTCTCGTACACCACGAACATGAGGGCAGCCGTCAGCACCGTCTGCAGCAGCTTTGCCTCCAGACCTTTGTACAGACCCAGGAAACCGTACTTCCTGTAAGACAAACAGTATAAGTTTGTTTCCACGATCGTCGACTGTATTTTTCTCGGTGTCTGTCACTGATGTCAGGTGGTGTAATTTGAGGATTCACTCACTTGATTCTGTCCATGAACAGGGAGACAACCTTTAGGATGCTTCCGCTCAAACCACCCTTACCATCATCCTTGTACTGACCAAACTAAAAAGACAACATGAGCATTAAAACTAGATTGAGTAAAATGAGACAGTCAAGTTCCTTTTTTAACCCCAGATCAACACATTTGTGATTCATTGAAAATGTCAACAAAGCGTTGATCTTGACTATAAAACTATTTACCCTCAGGATGGCCTGAACTGTCTGTAGAGGATATGTCGCTGTTGTAGCAACGGCCTTGGCAACTGCCCCAATGAGGAAGATCTCTGCTGATGAAATCTGAAGCGAGAGAGAAATATTTTTTATTTCCGTCATGCCCACGTTTCTTTTTGGCAAAATCCTCTCAGTGCTGTTATCAAGTATCAAACATTAACTCTAAAACAGCAGTCGTCCAACACTACTGCACTTTAAAAAATGTAAGGAGATCAGAATGAGGGTCAGGGTTCATGACACCTTGAAAAATAAAGATAACAAAACATGGGCAACATGCAAAAAACCCATTGACTATCTGCCAAATACTGGATGTCATTCATTACAAACTAATCCAAGGAAATATTTAAATACAAATTAGAACATAAAATATGTCTTGAAACTTTACTCATTAGGGAAAATAGAGAATAATTAGAATGAACACAAATTATTCTGAATTTAAAACTCTTCTGCTCACTCTTCTCCCTCTGTGGCCCATCTTCCTCTTCATGGCTTCATAGGACATGAACTGTACAGCAGGGTTGAGGATGAGGAGGAGTGAAGGCAGAGTTCCACTCCACAGAGATCCCACTCCTTCACTGGCTATGATCTGAGAGAAAGCATCTGAAAGAGAGAGAAAGACACACACACACACACACACACAGACACACACAGACACCGTTGACTTGACAGTCACAGATATACAGTAAACACTATGTAGTGCAAGTGAGTATTCTTCACATACCAAATATGCCCTTGTAGTGGGTCTGGTGAAGATCTTCATTTCTGAACTTCACCCCCTGCAGCTTCAGTCGAGTGTTGACCACCCACATGGGAGTGGTCAGGATCACATTCACCACTCCTGAGAACCAAAACAGCTTGTTTGTTAACTGTCACTGGACATAAATAACTCTTGCATCATTATTAGAACACGGTGTGAGTCTACAGGACAGGACTTGTATTTACCTGCTGCCATCCCCATTAGGAGGTCTTTGCCAGGTCTGGACCATCCTGGACCAGGCAACAGCCTCTTCAGTGAGTTGAAGGTGTAGAAGTAGACAAAGTTGGAGCAGCAGAGGCTGGAGATGACTGGAAACCAGCCTCTGTACAGGGACTCACTGGAAGCATTAGAATATATGATATATTATAATATATTATATTAAAATTAGATTAGGTTTATTCTGCATGGACACAAAGAGAAAGTGATTGATCAATGATAACAATGGTTTCATGTTGATTTACAGATGTGTCTGAATGTGTTTACAAACTCACAGGCCTTCTTCTTGTACGATCTCTGCCAAAATGGCTGGCGTGGACTTTGACTTTCTCTTCTCATCCACTAAAAAAAATGAAATTATTTCTGACATGAGTTAATGCATGAAAACAATCTGTGTGTTATCAACAGTAGAAAATAACTAGTGTGGCTTTTAGGGATTTTTGCACCATCATTTAAAAAAAAATAAGATATGACACAACCAGAGATCTGTTATTTGGTCACTACTTTCTATTCCTTCGATAGCCCCAACACCATATGGAAACGCACACCTTCAACCATTTAAACTATAGGTACAGTATACTGACCACCATGTTATGATGAAGCTCAACCCTTCACACAAATCGGTTCAGAGTAGTGGCTATCAGCTCACCTCTGTACCAGATTGATAAGACTCACCCTGCAGTCGGATTTTGGCCGTTTCCAAAGGAAAGAAGACGCTCATCGCTGTCACGCTGCCCTAAACACACGACCAAAAAAAAGAAACAAAGTGGCATCAATAAGTGTTATTTGTTTTTACAATGTACTATTACACACATACTTTAATTACTCAATTAACTAGTTAATTAAAAAAAGTAAGCTGCAGTATATTATCCTGATTAATCAATATGTAAATATTAATAAAATTAATAAATATGTAGTAAATAGTTTATTACCTGCTGTAAAGTTATAAAAGTAAATAAACTCTCATCAGTGCAAATGGAAGTGCAGTCTGATTGCTCAATGAAGCTATAATTCATTTTTCAGTGACTGTTTAGAGAAATTAAACATGTTTGATTTCATAACCTAACTGACCAAATACTATTTTTGCACCTTTCGCACATTTGTGTCATTACAGTTGCAGAATAGCAAATACATGCACGCCGTTCACATAAAGTAATAATGTAATAATATGGAAACAGAAACAGTAAACATGTGAAGCTTGGGAAAAAAATGTAACTTCCTATTTTTAACTAAAACAGACCCGACGAAATTGTTAAACAGTCAGCTCACCATTGCTCCTGCCACAGCGTGAACCAGTGTTTCGTAAGAAAGCAGGCCGTCAGCCAAAGCACCGTTCCCGGACATCTCTGCTCTGTCAGTCGGTCACAGCCTCAAACCAAAGATCTCAAAGGAAAAACACCGTATGGACAGCACACGCCGTTAGCACACCTGAAGTCAGTGTATACACCTCCAGTATGTGTATGAAACTTCACGAGCAACAACTGCTCTCATTCATTTAGTGGAGAGAAGAGAGAATGCAGGCACTTTTCCTGCCTCTGCTTCTGGTCTTCCATCTGTAGGGTGCCCCTACTGGTTTGGAGGAGGAAAAACAAAAAAGCCGCTGTCAAGTGAAACGATGGATAGAAAAAAGTCCTGTCAAAATGTGTTTTACAAAGTGTCGTTTAACAGGACAGTATGCCATGTGTGAGGATAATATATTTCAGAACCTCTGCCTGTCTTAAATAACAATTTAACTTCAATAGTTGAAAAATGTTCTTAAATGCTCTGTGTACTCTGGAAATTGAGTCAAATTCCCTGGTTGGTGAGTACAAATAAATGAAAGTTAATTCCTATCCCACGATCTATACAATTGTGTAACTACAGTCAAAGCAGTAAGCAACTACCTTTACTTTGAAATCTCAGCCATCTGAACTACTAAGAGGTTAGGGGCAGAAATTATTACTTTACAAAACATAAAATAATTTCTCAACTACTGACTGCACAGTAAAACGTGTTATGCTATTTGCTACACAACAAATCTACAGTAGTAAAAGTAAAACATACATATATTTTTATACTAAACACATGTGTGAATGTGCTCCTTTCTTATAGTCATTGCCTGACTGCAGCTGCCAACAATGAATTGGACTTTGCCTTAGTTTTATGGCTTCGAGCTGTTAAACTGCTGACGCCCAGTGACCGTTTTGTTTGCTCAGGTCTGCTGTAGTGACTCTGAGCCCTTCTTTTCAGGAGTGGACGTCCCTGGACACACTTGGCACTTCAAGTCAGAGATGTCTAGGTATCACAAAGCAGCCACTGATGGCTACCTGGAGCTGCTAAAGGAGGCCACCAGGAGGGACCTCAACATTGCTGATGAAGATGGGATGACTCCCACCATACTGGCTGCTTTTCATGGACACGTGGATGCGCTCCAGCTCATATGCAGCAGAGGGTAAGCATTATATTGTCAAACCTGTGTCTAGGTTTGACAATATAAGTCTAAACAAGAATTGTGTTTAATAGTTTTCACAAAAGACTGACACTTTTTGCTCTTGTATTATAACGACAACAATCTTTTTTCGCTCTAATGAACAGAAACTACATTCCTTGTTTCAACTGGTGTTGCGCCAGTCGAGCCAAATGTTAACTCAACCATGTCATGAAATAAAAGAGCTTTTAATCCAAGTTCACACCACATTATTACATCCTGATAAAATACTAAAACATACAGTTATAATAGACAATCATATATGTAGAAAATAGTCACTGAGCAATATTTATGTTAGTGTTTTGGTCCGCTGTTAACTTGACCTATGAATTTACTGTAAGGTTTTTTCACTGGTACAGCGATCACAGCTTTTATGGCTATGACAATGACGCATCTAGGAGGACTTTCAAACTTAATAGTTTACTATTTATCGCAACGCCCTTTTAGTATAGTTCCATATTTAATCGTGATAAACGATATATTCGTTACAGTAATGTCCTTCAAAGATTCACAGGAAGTGGTGGCAGCTTGTTTTAGCATAAAAGTTGAAAAGCCCAAACTGTGCCCCCGATGCTGTCTGTCTGTCTGGAGCTAAAATAAATAGCCATTATTCATTGGAAACGCTGGTACAATGTTATTGTAATACTATATATAATATGAAAGTATAGCATCTAAGTAGTCTATTTCTTATTTTTCATTATTTAAAAGAATTGATGTTTTTCATTGGCTATTAAAAATGAATATGTTTTTATTTGAAACAACATTTGATACATTTAGAACCAAAAACAGTGATTTTGTTTTTGTGTGTGTGTCTAACAGAGGAGACCCTGACAAGTGTGATATCTGGGGAAACACGCCATTGCACCATGCTGCAGCTAATGGCCACATGCACATCTTGAGCTTCCTGGTCAATTTTGGTGCCAACATTTTTGCCCTGGACAATGATTTTCACACTGCAATGGACGTCGCTGCCTCTCGTGATCGTATGGACTGTGTACGCTTCCTAGACTCTGCTGTGTCAGAGCAAACAAACAAAAATCCAAAGAAAGTTGCCATTCTAAAGAAGGAGGCCGAAAAGGAGGCAGAGAAACATATTAAACTCTGTGAGAAGGTAAATAAGAAACACCAGAGCAAGATGGAAAAGAGGCAGTATGGAGCAGGCCACACTGGGTCCATGTCTGAGGCCAGCATGGCTTCATCATTTTCAAACGGCGGTACCATCTCAAATGTTAATGAAAATGTCACAGAACTTCTTAAGGTAAAATCTGGCTCTGTGAGATCGGGGGTCTTCGGTACACTCCAGAAAAAGTTTGGGAAGAAAGATAAAGGCACACTGCAGAGGTCAGGAGGGGATGGAAATGTTATTTTCCTCAAGCAAGAGAACAAAGCCAATGAGAAGCCAGAGTTTGTTGAAGTTTTTAATGAGCAGGATGAGAACACTTATGAAGAACAAACAGAAGAGTTCGACAATGATGGAGAAGAATTGGGTGGAGTCAAACAATCCATCTTCAACCGGCCTGGTCTTGGAGGTCTGATTTTCATGAAGAAGATGGGAATGGACTCAGATGATGTCACCACAGGAAACAATGAAAATCTTGGCTTTCTTATTCAGAACCAGTCTTTAGAAGCGGAGGAAGATGCTAATGATTACGATGACACAAATGATGCTGGTGTGCCATGGAATCAGGAAGATCTTGGTTTAGATGATGATGAAGAGGAAGAATCCTCACCTTTAGATGTTTTCTTGTCTGCCATTTCCCTGTCTGAGTTTGGCCTTGCATTTAATAAAGAGCACCTTGACCTGGAGGCTTTGATGCTTTGCTCTGATGACGATCTGAAAAGCATTCGCATTCAGCTTGGCCCCAGGAAGAAGATTCTGGAAGCTGTTCTTCATAGAAAGAACACTCTTAAATGTCCTGGGACAATAAAGGACAGCTGCCTCTGATCCAGTGAAACATAAATATTCATTGTCAGTTAATCTTTGTACATTAATCTTCTTTAATGTTGTGTGAAGAGAGAAATTCCATTCGTTTTGAATATACCAGATTACTAGCCAAGTGTTTTGAAAAATTAAACATTTATTTATCACTGACTGTTCACTGCTTTGTTTGTATTATCCATTTAATCTAATCTGCACCATGGTCGAACATCAGACTGATGTTTTTGAGGTTTGTAGTTTGTTTGTTAAAAGTATTACAGTTGAAACTATATCTTTATTGAAAAAAATCTGTATTTTAATTAGTGATACAAATACATATTCTTGAACACAAATATTGTTTCTGCGCATTACTAAATTGATATATATTTTAGTTTTGGATGATTATTTAGTACTTTTGTAAAGTTGAATAAATAATGATAATTAAATGTCTCCAGTCCCAACGTTTTTAAGTCAAAATACATTGTGTGCGTGTCTGCTGGCATTCATTTCATACATTTGCTTGTCAATGAAAGAATTATAGGCTGTGTATAAATATTACAGTGATTTATGTGATACATGTGGTACGATATGTATTTGTTTACTTATTTTGGGATTGTAGTTGAATAGATTTTCGACAAAACCGGAAGTGTATGCGGTGAAATATTTCATCTGAGCACTGGTGGTGGGCGGGTTTTCCGGTGTTTTCCTGCTCTTATAGTCGTGTCTTCCTGGTGTAGAAGTCACGATTATGTCAAACAGGTAAAGTATGTTTGTGTTGACAGAAGCCGCAGAGAGTTTAACACCACTGCATGGAGGACCGCATGTTTCATGTCAACTATTTAGACTGAACCGAGAAAAAGGTTTTTTTGCCGCCGTTACTGTTCATCTTCGCTAAGCCTCATTAGTGAGCTAATAGAAAATCGCATATTATCTCTTTGCCCCATTGCCTCTTCTGCTATTTTAACAGTTTTCCTTCTTAATTTTGGGTCGGGGAGGGGTTGTTCACCAGAATAATAATTACGACCACTCGTCCAGATCGCAGTGATGTTTGAAATACCGGCGGCAAAAGTGTTCTGAATCTCTGTGCTTTCACTCGCAGGTTGATACCGAGAGAGATACATGGCTGAAATAATTGCCATTAACGTCAGTTTGCCATCTCTCTTCGCGATGAACGCCACTTTCCCGGTGCCAGCGGACACCGGCGGTGTTGCTCCTGCAGCCTCCTTTTCTGCAGCCTCCCTCGGCAGCGAGGACTACCTGTTTGTGGAGAGCAGACACCCCAGCACTGTCCTGCAGGGCCTCAACAGCCTGCGGCTCAACAACGCCTTCTGTGACGTGACGTTGTGTTGCGGAGGACAGGAGTTTCCCTGTCATCGCATCGTGCTGGCCTCCTTCAGCTCCTACTTCCAGGTGAAATGAACACAGGACTATGACTCAAGTGTCAATGTAGCAAAGTGTCAAAGTCTAGATGTGGGATCATGTTAGATGAGCCAAAAGCCAGGTTGTCCCGATAGTTTGCTTTTATTACATTTAAGAGTAGGAATATTTTAAAAATGAAGTACTGCACTAATATAAAAAATGAAACAAAATATGAAACTTTTGTAAACTATGAAACTGGAAAGCAGGACAAACAAAATTATCAAACACAGTATTGTCAAATAAGTGGCATCATAAATGTGAATATGAGGCATTCAAGTCTTTTTTTTTATTGAGTCCAAATCAAAATTTGAACAATTGTGCAGCCTTTGTTGTAAGATAAAAAGTGAAACAGCTGTGAACGTTGTGTCCCCACAGGCCATGTTTTCCACTGATTTGATCGAGTCCAAACAGGAGCGAGTTGCCATCAATGGAGTTGAACCTCAGATGATTGGCATGCTGGTGAGCTATGCCTACACATCCGAGGTTTACATCTCCAAAGCTAATGTTCAGGTAAAGCTACCAAACAACCCCCCTGTCCCGCTCACCCCATCATTCCCACTTGTTTTTCCTTCCCTCTTCTTCCAGTCCTGAACACAGTCTCTTTGTTGCAGGCTCTCCTGGCAGCGGCCAACTTGCTGGACGTGATGGCTGTCAGAGAGGCCTGCTGTCGCTTCATGGAGGGGCAGATGGATGAGATGAACTGTGTGGGGATTCACTGCTTCGCTGAGGCCCACTCTTGTAAGGTGCTGGAGAAACGCAGCATGGACTACATCCTGGAGCACTTCAGCAGTGTTTATCAGCAGGTGAGAGGAACACGCAGACATGTATTAGCAGATCTGCAACATCTTGTCACACACAATTAATTAATTAAGCTGCTTCTTCATCTTTTCGTTCCACCCCAGGAGGAGTTTCTGTCTCTGTGTGTGGACAAACTGACTGAAATCATCGGCAGCGACCATCTCAACGTGCCTGAAGAGGAGATGGTCTTTGAGGCCGCTGTGCTGTGGTTGAATAAATGCCCTTCTCGAAAGCAGAGCTTTGAAAAGGTCAGATTGTTTTTTGTTTATTTAGATGTTTTTATTATTATTAATAATAATAATTATAATTTATAAATTATATTTATTATTTGTTACATGGACACTGCTGTCATTATTTGTATTTGTTATTAAATAATTAATAAAATCACTCTACAACTGTACCGTTTGCATTTTTTTTCTCCCCTCTGTTGTCTCCCACATTTCCTGTTTTCTTTCTTTGCCAGGGGTGATGGCTACCAAAGCTACACATAAATTTGACTTGACCTGACAATGGAGGAACTGGGTTACTGATGTAAAGAGGAGCTAACAGAAAGAAGCTAACTCCTTTCCGCTCTTTCCCATAGGTCCTTGAGCACATCCGCCTGCCTCTAATCAGCCCTTACTACCTCCACGATGTGATCGAGTCTCTAGACGTGGTGAAGGAGAACCAAGCCTGTCAGAGGCTCATCTCTGAGGCCAAGGACTACCTGCTGCTGAAGGACCGTAGAGGAGAACTGTTCTGTCCCAGAGCCAGACCTCGCAGGTCCACAGGTAAAGGTTTCACACACGTGTTTTTTTCCCCATGCTTCATTATTGGCCAGCCTCACACCTGATGTTAACATGAGGGAGGAAACAGAGGAAGAAGATTATGGTGTACTTTTTAGCATGAGGTATGAGGCAGTTCTCTTCATGTTCCTTCGATGTGTTCTGTAAAATTACTTCTTTTTTTTAAATATTAAAAATAGTGTGTTTTTAATTCCACAATTATTATTTTTTACTTTGACATTGTAGTATGAATGGGAGTTATGAAAGCTTGTGAAACCACGATCTCTGTACAAGGCTCTATGGTTAAGAATCACTGCTATTGGAATCATGACTTGGGTAAACCATTTCTCTTCTCTTTCATGTTGCTATGGCAACAGGAACAGCTGAAGTGATTGTGACAGTCGGGGGGGAGGATGACAAGGTGGTGTTGCGCAGTGTGGAGAGCTTTGATCCTGTGACAAATCACTGGAAGAATCTGGCGTGTCTGCCCTTCGCTGTCAGCAAACATGGGCTGGTCGTGTCAGGTGAGGAGGCTACACGGCTGTGTTTCAAACTGTTCCTCTTCTCTGATTGGATATTTGTCTCCGATGTAGTGTGAATTCTGTTGTTAATGTCCATCCACCCCACCCTCTTTTCCTCATGCCTCCATAGACTCTACTCTGTATCTGGCTGGAGGGGAGTTTCCCGATGGCTCAGCCAGCAGGGAGATGTGGCGGTATGACCCCTGCTTCGACTCCTGGATGGAGATGGCACCGATGAATGTGGCTCGTTCTGAGTTAGGTTAGTGTCTCTCACCTGCTGGTCCAAAGCCTAATAATACTAAACTTTAAGCTTACAGATATTTACTGACAACTTATACACATACAAGTCCAAATACTAGTACAGATAAAAAAAAATATTTTTTTTACCTTTATTTACATAGGGAGTATCAGAGAGTTCATTCTCTCTCTCTCTCTCTCTCTCTGTTTAGGCCTTGTGATGCTGGATGGCTTTGTGTATGCAGTTGGAGGCTGGGAGGGTCGATCTCGCCTGGACTCGGTGGAGTGCTATAACCCTCACACCAATTCCTGGCAGTTTACAGAATCGGTGAAAATGGCGGTCACCAGTCCTGCTGTGGTGGCACTGGATGGACAGCTATATGTAACTGGTATGAAATGTGTTCTATTCTATCAGGAAGTACTGTTGGAATTGTTTTAAATACACCATTGCCTTCTTCTTTGTCCTGGTAGGTGGCGCAGTTCTAGAGGACGGCGATGGCACAGACTTAGCCCAGGTTTACAGCCCTAAAACCACAGTGTGGACAGATATAACCCCGATGCAGATTGCACGCTCTGGGTCAGCAGCCTGTACGCTGAAAGGAAAAATATATGTTATAGGTATGATCTTCCTGCAAATTGTTTTTTCAGTCTTTAACATTTTACAGATTCAGTTCCCAGGACTCTACAAAGATGTGATTTTTTTTTTTTGGTTGTTGTTCATTCTGAAATCCCTCCTAACAGGTGGATGGCACGCTTCAACAGAGAACACAGATAAGGTGGAGTGTTACAATCCCAATACCAACCAGTGGACCATGTGCGCCCCTATGAAAGAACGACGGTATCGGCCTGGCGCTGCCGTCGTGGACGGAAAAATATATGTTCTTGGAGGAGAAGAAGGCTGGGACAGGTGAGTCCTTCAGAAGTGTAATAAGAATAATGTGAATTATAATTCACGAATAATCCACAATTATTCATAATAATCACAAATATTTAGTAATAATAATCCACAATTATTTATAATAATCACAAATATTTAGTAATAATCATGGGTAATCCTGATTATTGAGGAGTTACCCTGCCATTAATTCAATTAATAATGTTAATAGTTGACAGTTTGTTTGTTTTTTCCCTTTTTTTTAATCAGTCTGCTTGGCAGAGTCGTAATAGAATATATATTTAAAGCTGATCACTTAACACACAGATATCACGACACCATTGAGAGGTACTGTGATGAGACGGACACGTGGGAGATTGTTGGGGAGATGCCCACCAGTCGTAGCTGGCTCAGCTGTGTGTCACTGCAGCTTAGGAAGGACATCTTCATGAGCTGTCCAGGAACGCCAAATGACAATTGAGGGGAGACGCCATGAAGGACCTTTCCTGGTTATTAATTGCACCCTCTTCAGAGATCGTGCACAACAGAGCTCTGAGCTGCCAAGTCAGAAGACTGGGAAGTTGTTCTCAGATATAGCACAGAGCTGTTGGAGCTGTTACTGGTGGCCTAGCAGTGTCTTTGAATTAGTGCAGACTTGTTAAAGGAGTCTCACTCACTTAATTTCCTCTGTTGGTGCAGAGAAAAAAGGAAAAAGTGATGTTTACACACATGATTTCATGTTACTACGTTAAACCACTTGGTCTGTAATCTGAATTCATTTCCTGTTTGATGTGAACATGGTCAAGATGTGGTTATGTCTGAGCAGCGCTAATCTGTGAAGGTGTATCTGGCCAACATAGTGTATTTTTGTATCATTGTTGTTTGATGTATTTATTGGGGTGTTATAAGCTGTGAGAATTTTTTTTTTTTTCAAAAAAACACAAGTATATCATTATTTCTTTATTTCAAAAGCTGCTGTGTGGGCCAAAGAACTGAAAAGACATTTAAAAAATTACCAGTGAAAAATCTATTTGTGTCATGTTTTTGTAATTCAGAGTCAAGAGTTTTAAATGACTGTCTTTATTACGTGTAACTTGTTGAGTATATTTTTGTAATGTAGTGTGCCTCACGCATTCAATTGGATTTAAATTGACTTAGATTCTAATAAAGATATTATTAAATTGGTTTTTGTGTGTCTGTGCATGTGTGAGAATGTAGAACAAGACTACAGAAAGTAGCTCTGTGAATGTGTAGAATTTTACTGCAGATATCCCTTGGTATAAATTAATTCTTTACCCCACTAAAAAGTGTACATTAACTGAAACTTTAAATTCAAATATTTAATGGCGACTTCGTCTGTGGTGAAGATTATGGTAAATAGAACAAATTGATGTTTTGAAAGAGTTGAATGAACAACAGTGTACTCTTGATTAGTTGTTTCTTGATATTTGCTTAAATGTTTTTTATATAATTTTGAATAAATTGAAATTAATATATATTTCTTCATTCGGAAAAAGTAAATAGTAAAAAAGTAATCTAATAAGTAAGTTTTTACTATAAATAATAGTAAAAGTAATCTTTACGGACTATTCTCGTCGTTTGTTGTGCGCAAAGGGTTGTGGGTAGTCCCAGTCGTAACTGTCGTCATCAACAGCAGTTGAAGCAGAAGGAAAGAGGGTTGACAGGCATGAGAGGATTTCGCTCTCTGAACGCAGTTCCTGTGAGTCCTGGGTTTTCTCGCTTTCCAGCGACACGGACATGAGTTTACATTTTATTAGTTTTAGACATTTATTTATATTTCGGCCAGTTCGCAGTTTTACAGTTAAGTCACTGTAACACGGCAACAAAACAGAAACTGAAGTGTGAGTGTTTTCCATGTAAACACACCATTGAACAATCGTTTATTATGGGTCGACCAGTCTCATATTGAACCTCCCCTTTTAGCCAGAATGTGTATATTACATTAACCCCCTCAGTTTGATTAATAAAACCGTGGTATTTGTCTGATACTTTATTGCGATATTGCAATACATGTCAAGTAGGCGTGACTTGTGTTGGCACGGGTCATTTCAGGACGTGTTATTTTTGGACTGAGAGGCACTACATACTGTGTATGTGTGATAATTAAAAGACAACCGCGTTTAATGTTCTACCACAAAAGCTGTGTGGTAAGATGTGTTTTGGAAAATTGGAAAAATGTCTTACTACAGAAACGGTGCTATGCGGCAGCCAGGAGTGTCGAAGCCCTGAAATTCTCCACAACAGCCTCTCCAGCTCCTCAAGATGTCCAAGTGAGTGTATAAAAAACAGTGTAATGTAAAAAAAAAAAGACCCTCCAAATGTCACGTTAATGGAATGACAATAATTCTCCAACAACTGTTTCTTTTGGTGTGCCAGGTGTCCAAACTCACAAATGGACTGGTGATAGCATCTCTGGAGAACCACTCACCGCTGTGCAATGTGGGTCTGTTTGTGAAAGCAGGAAGCCGCTATGAGACAGCAGAGAACCTTGGTGTCTCACATGTTTTGCGTTTGGCAGCCAACCTGGTAACTTTTATGAAAAGTTATTTCTGGAACGCCCTTCAACATTTACATTCTATAGCCAAGAGAAGTTTTACTTCAATATGTAGAGTTTATTTTCTTAGACAAATAAAAATGCATCTGGCTTGAAGATATGCCGCAGTCTGGAAGCACTGGGCGGCAGCCTGAGGTCAGTGAGAGAACCTGGACATTAACAGTCCCTGTAGCAATAAATAAAACAGACACAATTTTAACCACACATTTACTAACTGTGTTTGCAGTGTGACGTCTTCACGTGAGACCATGGTCTACACTGCCACCTGTCTGAGAGATCACCTGTACCTATTTGTCCCTTCTCAGCTAAATTTCTTGTTCTCTTGACAAAATTACATTTCAAAGTTTGTCTGATTCCAGATGACTTTCTCACCACGCTTGTATTTTTGTGTGCAGAGAATTATTCTTGGAGACTTTGGTCAATGTGACTACAGCCCAGGAGTTTCGCCCGTGGGAGGTGAGCGAACTCACGTCCAGGGTGAAGATCGACAGGGCTA